AAGCGGATGGGGTCGTTTAGGGCGGATCCGAGAGCTCGTCCGTTCTGCTCGGTCCTCACCCTGGCCGGGACCGGTACACTACGAATGAATAATGGGCTGGTGCGGAGCAAAGCCGGTGAGGCAGGGTATGAGAAGGAATCGGAGTCTTGGCGACATGGACGGCCACGCCGCAGCCCCATGACATACATGGTATGGCCATGTGGCTAGCTCATCTCTAACTGGAGGCTTTGGACCGGATGGAGCCGCACGAGTCGTCCACTAATAGGTGCACGATGGCTTTTATCTGCGGCTCAATATGGGTGGTGGTCTGCGAGACTTAACATGGACAGCTAATTGGCCCCTTTTGCCCTCAGATAAGCCAGGAAAATACATGGTGCAATGCGGACCCTTTCGTCCAAGCGGTACCGTCTCTGACTTATTGCATGTGGACTAAGAATACCGTTGCTGAAATTGGAGGAGGGGGAGGACGCCCATCGTTGGCGTAAGAAGTTGATGTTCTTGACTAGAGAGAATTTCAGCCTCATGTCTGTCGCATTGGGGGCTAGTCGGGTCGATCTTGGGCGAGGACGGAAACGATGCAACCCCAATCCTCACGGAACAATTCCTTCATTGACGAGCCCGTCGTGTCTTGGCGTTAGACAACGGGCCTGTCGACATGGTGATCGGAGTTGAGGGCTTATGGCGTGCGCATGAACCTTGACTCGAGAGCGTTCATAACCTCATCTCTGTCGACTGCCTGCCCCTAAATGCTTGTTTTATCAAGCCAGAGTCTCCTGGCCGGATAGCGCCAAGTGCTTTAAGTAGGGCAAAATGACGCACGAGAGAACTGTCGATAAGAGCCAAAGGAGGCGGCATGACTCTGCTCTGGAACCAGCAGTGGATCTGGTCATTTACATTGTAGTCCATGCATGTCTTGGCACTATTTCGCAGACGGGGCTTTTGATGGCGATCATGGATGGATGGGCGACGTAGACAAGTCGGACAGACTTAAGGTAGCGGAGGAGGAACAGCCTCCAAGAGGAGGGTCTATTTATGGATGGACGGCTGCTGCCAATAAACGCTTGCGCTTCTGTGCATGTGTTGGTTGTGACGAGACTTACGGTCCTCCTGATACGGTCTTGCCCGATGCACGCACACACGCCGAGATGATCAGCGGAGTAAGACACGAGCAGGGAAAAGGCTTCTGCAAGGGGAAGATGTTTAGATGACCAATCTAGCCCGTAACAGGGCATCCATTGAGGCGCTGTGCGCTAGGATGGGGTTTTAGGTTTTGATTTCAACGGCTCGAACGACTCAACCAATTCCAACAAACTGCAAATCATGATACAAGTGTATTGGCAAATAGTTTGGTGGAGGCTGAAACACCCACCCCCCATCAACGATTGAGATTGTGACTTGCCGAGAGTAGTTGAGGCGGATCGATCTCATGAGACTGCTACTGACTGACGACGGGTTGGAGAGCATTGACAATAGCATTGCACCTTTTGACTCTTGCAGTGTGATATGTACTTTCATCAAGTCGATCCCCCAAGTCTCTCGGCTGGCAACTTGCCATGTTATTACAAGTGATGAGACAAGCTGATATTGTCCCCCCCCTGTCAACCTGAGAGTACCGTGCACAATAACAGCAATAAAGCTCAGCAGACAGTAGATTTAGTAATAATATAACTATCTTAATAAAAAAATAGAGGCAAAAGGGATAGTCTTAGCCTATCTTAACCTAGAGTGTAACATATGAAGCAGTGTAGGTTAATACTATTTTAACCTTCCCTAGTGGAGCTGTTTTAGAGTTAAAAAAAAATCTAAGAAAACTGGATTTAAACCTGTAGCCTTTAGGATATAAGGTTTATTACTGTTATTGTGCATGGTACTCTCGGGTTGACAGGGGGGGGGGGCAATATCAGCTTGTCTGTAGACTCTGTTATTGCTCTATGGACCCAAGTCGGGGGCAAAGGGTATACTGCTAAAAGTTGTGAGATCATCGTCCTGTGATGCCACATACCATGAGTGTCACTTGGAGGAAGGCATATTACAATGGAAAAATCTAGTAATTCATCTTCCGACGCCAATTTCCCTCACACCCCAGCCATCTTAATTCATGTACGCCCATTATAGCTTAATATGCATGTCTAATCGAACCTTGAAGCTTCACGCTGAGAATAGGTCAGGACACACTTCCCATGAGAACAACATCAGACGTGGTCAAATCCATTTCCTGGTGGCCTAGAGAGTCAGGAGGAAGGGGCGTCAAAAGTGAAATCGACACTGCTCATCCTCCTTGCGGCAGACTCTCAGGCCACGTGATCTATTCAATAGCGAATCAACCAACAGAGTCCTTTGAACAATCCAATTCCCTGGCAACTGGAGAGTGATATTCAAGAACAAGGTAGCGTGTTGTTATTGAGGTAACTCAGAGGTTCAGGCCAGCCTCGCCGCTTCTCATCTTTCTTCCTCTCCTGGCCTCACCCAATCAGATACTCCCCCTCTGAATAACCTCATCATCACAACGCGACGCGTATCCTATCTAAACACCCGTGAACCTACTTGAACTGTGCCTGCCTTCTTTGTTTCCTTCCTATTGCTGACTGTAAAGAAAAAGAACAGGAAAGAAACTGGCGTGTCTCGCTTATTATTTCTTTCTTGCCCTGCCCTGCCAGATCTTCTTTTATTAACCCTTCTTCCTCTCACATACAAACAAATCTTCTTACACCAACCTTTTCACTTCTCTTTACACACACACACACACACACAAACAACCATTCAAAGCAACTTGCAAATTTCGTATCCATAAGCAAAACTCCCTTTCTGCCCTTCCAGCAACTAAACAAGAACAACCAAGCAAGGATCACATCTTTCGTCAACCGCCAAGATGAAGGTAAGTCTTGTTTTCACACTCATTCTCATATCATTTCTCTTGGTTGAAGCAGAGTCGTGAAGCTCACCCATCATCTCTCACAGAGCTCCATCATTGTTACCCTTATCGGCGCTCTCGCCGCTACCGTCAACGGTATCCCCATCATTGACAACGCCAACCTGGCTGTCGTCAAGTCCGCCCAGGCCAGTGCGGCTGGTGCCAACGCTGTCTACGGCATGGTTCATCGCCGCCTCAACAACACCCAGAGTCCTGGTACCCAGATGCCTGTCTCTGTCATCGGCATGAACTCCTCTATCTCTGGCGCTCCGGCTCCCACTGAGATCAAGGCCAATGGCACCTTCGCCGACTCTCTCACAATCCACACGACTGAGGCACTCCCTGCTACCTTTGACGCCTCTATCATCGGAACCAAGGCCAACATGTCCGACATGCCTGCCCAGACCAGTCGCATCCAGGCTTCCTCCCCTGTTTCTACCATGGACAGCCTCGACTATGCCGATCAAGTTCAGTATTGGTTCACCCACTGCGTCCTGCCTCCTGTCGAACGCCGCCCCAAGGAGTGCGCTACAATGAAACCCTCCCCCATTACCGAGTCCCTGCCCATTCTGGAGCTGACCACGCTTGGTAATGATGTCTTCACGACTCTAACCGGCCAGGAGACTGAGCTTTGGATGGAGTTGACTACCATCCACAGCTTCGTGACCCCAGCTGCTACTCCTACTGACATGGGTGTCATCGTCGTCACCGTCACCTCGACTGTCATTCAGACCGAGGACCCCGAGATCGAGTACACCTTCGCCAAGGTCGACTCCGCGTCTGTCATGACTCTTCGCGGCTAAGCTCTCGCTCCTTCGCCGTTCAGAACTGTTTTTCTTTGGGTCTTTTGGTAAAGGAAACCTGGATTGGTTTTGGCTCGCGCTAGGACTCGTCATCGACGCGAGGCTGGGCACATGGATTTCGGGCGAGGCGTCAAGGAGACACGGGGAAACATGAGATTCCCTTCACTATGAATGAAGAAGCGTTAGGCTTCAACGATCAGCTATATGAGGCTGCTCGCGAGAATTGCAATTGACCGGCATTACACACATCATCTCTCCCCTTCTCAACGTGATTGCTCATGGTAACGTGATGTATGTTTACTGTCTACATCGATGTCCCTCGTGGGGCCGATATGCCTTGGCTCCATAACATTATAACTCGCGGACATTGTTTAGGGTTGAATTCTGGGCGACTCATTACCGAACGCCCCATTATCTAGAGCGCTTGTATCCCGCGCATTAGCGAGATCATTAGCACTCCTTGGACTTTAGTTCCCGGTAAACTCTCAACGTGGATGAAGTACGCCGAATCTACCTCAGTGGTTCGGGACAGTCCCAGCCCAAGGCCTCCTCGGCTGCCATTAGAGTAAGACAAGCTTCTCTATCCCATCCAGGCCCACTGGGTTCGGTTATATTCTGTTGTTGTTTGTTAGAACACGTCCACAGCCGAACTTTAATCATAGCACAACTCACTGGGTTTCATGTTCACGTCGAACAAAGCAAACCTAAAACCAGGGGACTCGTCAAAGCGGCGCACATCGATACGAATTGGAGCAGTGACGACCAATGGCTCAGCCGCCCTCTCGATTTCCATTGCACCTTGGCCTTGGCCGGATCCTTCTCCTCTTCCTCTCTGATGAACCTGGAGTTAGTAGTGACCGCCACCACCCCATTGTACGGGACGCTGTCGTCGTGGTGGCTGAAGCAGGTGACGATGGTCATGAACCAGTACTTGTCCTTTTCGCCGTTCGGGCCGCGTCGAGATGATGGTGGCTTCCTCTCTGGCAAGGTATTCTTCCACCGTGATGCCCGGAGACTCCCCAAACAGGGCCTCGACCTGGGCTGCGAGTACCTCGATAGTCCGACACAGCAGCTCCAGACCATGACTTCCTCGTCCTCGGATTGGCTTAGCCAAGACGGAACGTCGGATTCTTCTGGCGGAGCTCGGCGGCGAAGTCGGGGCTGCGATTGAAAGTCCGGAAACGATGCATCGTGAAGCTGCCGGCGTTGCGGAGCAGGTCATTGACGACTCTTTGTCATATCCCGGAGTTCCGAGACGCGCTGCAGGCCGTGCAGAGGGCGTGGCCTCAGGCGTTGCCGAACATGTCCCACAGGCTCGGGAACAGCTCGTCGACGTCCGGCACGCTCGTGGACACGTACTCTTGAAGATCGGGCATGCCGACCGGCTGCTCGGCGGACTCGTCGGCGCCCGAGGTGGTGGACGTGGCCAGCTTCTCGACGACCTCGGAGTACTGCGCGATGCAGAGGTCGCCGACGTCCCAGGCTTTCTGGCGGTGCAGCTGCAGCGCGCCGACGAGGTCGCGCGCCAGCTTGAGCGACATGCTCTGGGCGATGCCGCTGACGGTGTCCTCCGTCTCGAGCGCGCAGCGGAGGAGGCACTTGGTGGTGGAGGTGAAGGCGAAGGTAAGGAGGGGCAGCCAGTAGTCGCCGAGCTGGGGGTCCTTGAGCTCCTGGGCCAGCAGCACAATGTCCTCGGCGGCGCGCCGGACCTCGAGGTAGCACCGCACGGGGATTGCGGACGGCTGGTCGGCGTGGGCCGCCTTCTCGGCGTCGAGGTCCAGCTTGCGGAGGAGCAGCTTGATGTAGAGGTACGCCAGGCGGAGGTTCGCCGACCCGGGGACGTCGAGCCGGTCGCCGCCGCGAATGACGATCCGGCGGAGGCCGGGGTCGAGCGAGTCTTCCCACTGCGTCAGCAGGACTTCCAGATCACATGGCCCGGTCGGCAGCGTCTTCTCCAGGTCGTAGATGTGCTCCAGGTACCGGTCGAGGAACCGGGACAGCGAGACGAATGCCAGGTACACGGACGTGGCCTCGAAGTCGACGGGGTTGGGCGCGGGGCCGCAGAGCTGCTCTACCGTGGGGATGGACACGTCGTATTGGCCGCCGCGCAGCTGCGGCGGCGTGCCGTATGCCAGACTCGACCTGTCATGTTGTCAGCCTCGGGCTTTGCTGGTCGCCAGGAGGGGCGGGCAGGGCTTATCGAAGGCTCACCACTTGTCGTACACGAATATGGCCCACCAGATCTTCGTCCGCAGGAGCTTTTCGGCCTCGGGCACGTCCCAGTCGGACGAGTCTCGGTTCAAGCCCAGCGAGTGGCACAGGGAAATGGCCGAGCCAAGCAGTAGCCCGTTGCCGATGATGGAGGTCAGGGGTCGGCCGGAAATATTGAGCAGGATGCCGAGCAAGGTCGAGATGCCGGGAGACAGGTGGATCTCCGAGTACAGCGCGTCGTTGGCCTGGTTCCAGATGAACCTCGTGTCCGGACGATGGTGCGTCGCAAGTCTCGGCGACTGGGCCCAGTAGGTCGTCGTGTGCGCATAGAGGCATGACAGCAAGGCCGGCGAAATGTGACGCCGGTCCTCGGCGAAGCGTTTTTCAAACGAGTCCCTGTCCAACAGGGGAAAACAACGGTTGGGCTTCTCGAAGAACCTGGACCAGAGTCAATTTGCAGTCTCGGTGCACGAAGGAGCCGGGCCGGGGGAAGCAGGCTCACAAATCGACAACGTAAGGCAGCACCGGCTCAAGAAGCTTCTCTATCATCTGGCATTTCAGGAACGCCGGGTTCCGGTCATCTGGAACACCCAGCGGCTGCTTCCTCACGGTCGTGAACACGACGGGTTTCCGTGTGCTGCTGCCACTTCCGTGGTCTTGTCGCGGGCTCGTCCCCGATATCCTAGTCCGGATGCTTCTGTTGAGAACGGACGAGTCATTGGACAGATAAGTAGAGAGAACCTGGGTGTCCTCGATGTCGGCCGGTCCTACAATGTGCGCCTCGTCTTCCCCTCCTCCGTCGATGGGCTCGGGGTAGCGGCTGTCACGGGGCGCGACTGGCGGGAGTTGTCTATCCAAGGACCTCGACTCCCTCCTAGCCGGCAGGCCGGCGTCAGCAAGAGGCAGACGGGTCGTCTGCGAACCAAAACGAAGATCCGAGGCCAGGCTCTGTGTCTGGGGCGGCGATGACGGGCGGTGGCCCAGGTCCTTTGACTGGCGGCCCCGGCCGTGTTTCCAGACACTCTTCGGCCGAGGAGAGGTGCCGGCCGGGGTCGGAGGGAACTCGCACGATGTTGCGTGTGCCCGGCATGTTAGACAGGTGCCCCCATTCCGATCGACATTGCACCGAGACTTGCGCTTCCGACAGGCCAGACAAGCCGGGCGGAGGTGGGAGCGGTAGGGGCGCTCCGAGGGAAAGGATGCAGTATCAGCCTCGGGCGCCATATCTCAGAAACTGTTGTCTCGCTCATTTGACGAGATCATCCAAGAACCTGGCCGAGGACACTGTTTGTATTCGCCCTTATCTCAGTCAGAGGCTCTCTCGATGCCGGGTCGTCTTGTCCGCGCTCAAGTTTCCCGAGGGAAACGTTAAATGAGCTTATCCGATCTATCGTATTTGTGATGGCTGATAACGATAACGATAACGCACCTAATGCTCTCATCCTTTTGTTCTTACGGATCCTTGAGACATCAAGGCCGACGACGTTGATTTCCATGACTGCGCAGCGGCGAAGCACATCGAACCCATGCCACCCGCACATAACATACACAACTATTGAACCTACACCGTTACACCGTTCTTCGGTTCGGGGCCAGTTCGACACACGGCATATCGCTTCAGGGAAAGCAGCTTGGGTTCCGATCAGACAGACGGTGACCAACTGCGACAGGGGGCGCTACAATCACACAATGCCGATTCAGTTCTGTAGTCGGATGTCAAACAAGACGTTTTGAAGGGTCTAAGGGGTAAGAAAAAGTAATGCCTCCCTTATATATACCGAAGGCCAAAGGTCCAACGTGCTGCAAAAGGCTTCGTTTCCACTCGCCCGAGGCAGCGGAATTATGCTCACAATCGCGCATGCACCCCATGCCAGCGAGCTGGACAATCAATCTGTGCTCAGGCGTGGTCCCATACTCTGGTAATGTAATTTATCTTGGCAAGGTGCCCCGGCAGCCTGCCCTCACCATGTAACCAAGTTCAGCGTAAGCGAAAGCGACGATGTTGCGATCACAAACCAATATTCGGCTGACCAACCGGGCAAGGCCGATGCCGTCGGGCCATCAAGAGGCCCGCGATGTCTGGTGTCAGACTTCCAGTATCACCACGGTCGCAGAGCACAGGATCCTGTCATGCCTGAACTGTCCCAGTTCCCTGGCTTTAATGACCATGGTTGCATCTTTCTTAAACCTGTGAGTTGTCGACGACGAGGAGCGCGATCCCTGACGCCCAGAAACTCTCTGCGTAGTATTACCCCGGTGACAGGGTTGCAGCCATTGCAAATTACGAACCCGAAAAGGGGCCTGGGTCCAAAGCGAAGTTGTGCTTACGAGCTATCCGTAAACCGACCATGTAACAGTCAAAGTCAGGCTTGGACCGACCATGGTAACATTGAGAACGGGGCACATGATGGGCTGCTTGGATACTCGTAAGACAAGTGACAAAGTTCACGGGAATCTGAAACGATCTTATGACGGTATGGTTACATCGGGGGTCTTCGTAGCCGGAGGGTGAAGGCTACCATTGCCAAGATCGCAACTCATAGGCCCACCGAATAAGACCGGCTATTGCTTTCGCAGAATATCCACGATGTTGGTTGCGGTTAGACCCGGGAGGCCGAGCGCGAATCTCGACCGTCATCCCACCTTTGGAGGGAGGAAGGGAGGGATGGCCTCGTGCGTTACGATACGATCACAAACCCACGAGTCAACCGCGGATTCGAGGTGCCAGTGTAGGTTTCCGCGAGCGGTCTCGAGCATACCCGTTCTTGTAAGAGACGAACCGCTTAACAAGCTCCAATCTCGATATCAATAATCGGTACCTCCTTAAGCAAGCAACGAGATACAGTTTATTTGAAATACCTTGAGGGGCGGATGAGTTGGCGTATAATACGTGTCACATATTATATCGCCGGTCATATAGAGATGTCCATCTCTCCTGGCCATCGTACTAGCCAGACACACACCAAATCCATCAAGCGAAAACCTAATTACGGTGAATTCAGGTTCTCATTTGAATTCATCCTTTGGGCCATTGCGCCATTTCGCTGATGAGCAATCCTGCCCGGTGGAGGTGCCTCCGAGAACTGGGTGGTATTCTCGGGATCTGGGTTACACATCAGGGCATGAGGGCTTGAAGGCATAAAAGAATGGCTCCGCGTCTTCCATCCTGGCCGGAACCAGCATGACGAGACAGCGGGGCTTAGATCGGAGATCACCCGTGAATGGGTAAGTATCCCTCTATTTTGCATCCACAACCCGAGGGATCGCCATGGAGCTCCCAAACACCTTATTGTCGAGCTACCGGGGGGCCTCCTCTTCAACGTCTTGTCAACTAATACAATAGAGTATGTAGAAGATCGAGCATGAATCGATCTCTGAGGCACGATCATTCACACCAGGGGGCCCGTGACCACAGAGGGAGCGCGTGGTTCAGAATGTCATTCGCTGGCAGCACAGAAGCTAAACAAGGTGGCTAATGATGGGGGGTTTAAAGAGTTTTCCGCACAAGACGCCACATCGATATCACCACGGCTTACTGCCAAAGTATCGCAGCCGAGGAGGGGGGGGGGAGGCAAAGATCCCAATGCACGGACAAAGATGTGCCACTTTTCATGACCAGAGATACACCCGGGGCGTCGAGTATATGTTTATTCCCGGCGATGCCTGGACTACCGCTTAATCACTATATTTACGACCGGTAAACAAGAACTCCTGCTGCGCCGCTTCCGTTGGGGTCCCGCGTCTCATCTGATCGTAGTGTGATTCGGAACCCGTTTGCCGCTTTGCTCCTGGTCTGGTGGGAGTTATAACCAAGGCAGCCCAGGGCTATAGTCTATGCGTGCGTGCGGTCTTGGTTAGGTGCCTTGGTGAAGATGCTCGATATTATCACCAGCAACGCCCGGTCCCTGCTGTGACGAATAGGAGCAGAGGCCAGCCCTGGATGTTCAAGAACACGAGACCCTGACGACCAGGCTCATCCATGCTCATCTCAAACTATCTTTTCAGTCCATTCTAGAACGATGCGTTTCATCCGAGCTTGAGGCGGCCCCTACGGCAAGGGAGGGGAGACCCCCCTTTTATGGACATACGTTTCCAAGGCTGCCTTCTTCGCCATTCATGTCGACCTTCACCACGTAAAGACGAGCGCCAGGCGATGGCACGCACCCGGCAACTGTGTGCCCGCTCCGCTAGGCAAGGGTAGTTAAACTAGTCTCCGAAGAGTGGATTCCATTATGGACGCATAAGCTGCAGACTGAACCTGCGAGGGAGGATGGACTGACTTGAGTGGAAAAGGTAATCATAGGCACACTACCCAGTACCACTCAATGGCATTGAACGGCACCATTATCTTGGATGTGTACAAGGTTGAACCATGGTACTCGAGATCTCACTTTTTCGTAATGGCACTGTAATGGACAACCCTCCCTTACCCCCCCCCCCCCCCCCCCCCCTCTCGTCGCGGGCTATTGACCAGTCCTTGTGTTTTCACTGGCGCCCCTTTCCCCCTTTTTCTCCATCACCGGCGGGGGCAACCTCCAGGGAACGTCCTAATTCGGGATAAAAGAAGGGGAGGGGGGCCGAAAGCCAAGGCAGATATAGGGCTGTGGCTGAAGAGGAAAAGGGAAGGGGATCGTCGAGGGGGAATAGATATTGGCTTCCTTGGCTCACCTACCGTTGTCTTGGCTTTTGCTTTTTTCCTTTCAAGTTTCTTTTGTTTTCTTCCGCGGGACTTACACCAGACGGAAATACATGCTCGCGTTGTTATTGTTTTTTTTGGCCGTAGATCGGCTTAGCGCAATATCGACGACTCCTACGCAACAATGCCCACCGGGCTCATGATAGCTGCAGAAGGCGAAGGCGGAGCAGCCCGCACCTTGACGCCCGAGTATCTGGCAGAGGACTCTGGGAACGAACTCATCTCGATATCCATCGCCTTCGCCATCCTCACGACTGTGTTCCTCGCCCTGCGGCTATTCGCGAAACGGTTCACCGCGGGCGGCTATGGAATCGACGATTACTTCTTGGCGGCGGCATACGTTGTCGACCTCGGCATGTGCGCCGTGGGCATAGGTATGGTTTTTCCCGTCCATCTCTCCGTCTCTTTCCGCTTCTCTTTTCCTTCCCTTACCTCTATGGCCTGTTTTTCTCTAACGCGCGTCTTCGCAGTCATGGTAAAGGTCGGTGGCGTCGGACGACACGTCGAGTACGTCGAGGAATTCCACCCCGAACTGCTGGCAGGGTGGGCAAAGTCCCTGCTCGCCTTCGAGCTCGTCTACTTTACGTCCGTGGCGCTGCCGAAGATGAGCATCGTGTGCCTGTTCCTGCGTGTCTTCAACTGGAAGGGCGGTATGCGCGCCACCGCCTACGTCATCCTCGCGGCCCTCGCCGCTACGAGCGTGTCCTTCGTCGTCACGGCGTGCTTCCAGTGCCAGCCCATCGCCTACTGGTGGGACCGGACGATCCCAGGTGGCAAGTGTATCGACGTGCAGGCCTTCTTCCACGGCCAGGCCATCCCTGGCTTCTTGTTGGACTTCATCATCATGGCGCTGCCGCTTCAGACCATCTGGGCCCTGAAGCTGCCGATGCACAAGAGACTCGCGCTGGTCGGAATCTTCATGGTTGGCAGTTTGTACGTGATCCCCCCATCTAGTCAACGTGAGTGAACAAGGGGGGGGACGGTGCCGTGACTAACAGCTTCACAGCGGTGTCGTCGCATCCATAATCCGCGCCTACATCTTCTTCCAGACGTCTGCGTTTGCGGATCGCACATGTGAGTTCCATGGAACGGCTGAGACTTGGTCCTATCGTGCTGACTGAAGCAGGGGCGTCCGTCGGTCTCGTCGGCTGGAGCATCATCGAGACGGGAACCTACATCATCGCGGCCTGCCTCCCTCACTTCCGCCCCATGATCTCCTACTACACGCCGCCATGGCTAAAGAGCTTCGTGCGCAAGACGGTATCGCAAGCCACCAGCACCGCTTCCAAGGTGACCGGCTCTAAGAGTACCCAGAGACGCCGCGGCGATGACGAGGTGGAGCTCACCGAGCACTCGAGGAAGCAGACCTTCGAGACGGAAAGCGAAGTGACGGGCGACGAGGAGCGCGGGTACGCGGGGCATGTTCGATCGCCGGTATCAGGGAGGACTGTTGAGGTGCGCAAGTCGGACGACATGGTTAAGGGAGACTGGGCCCAAGAAGGGCATATCCGGGTCACGACCGAAGTCA